TTGTACACATGTTATTCAATAGATATATACATGAATTTAACTCTAACAATTTTGTTTTAAACCCAAATATATCTATTTGATTTTACCATGTGAATCTGTTCAATATTATGGCCTTTCTCTTTTGGTAATAATTCATTTATTGAGTTATGTAATAAAGCCATATAATTAATCAGTCCTAATTCGAATTTTATAGTCATGCTAACAAATTATAATTTAAATCTGAAATTTCTACTCGCCATCTTTAAGACCAACAGTTAAATTTCTTACCTTGTGATTGTTTTAAAATTTGAAAGTACTAATCACTTATTTCTTTTTATCATACTTTTTTGTTTATTTTTTCTGTCCAAATTTAATTCAATATAAGCACTTGATAATGTTTAGGATTAAGTGTCTTCTTTATTTTCAATTTTCGAATGAAAGAAAATGAACATGAGGGAAAAACTAACAAATTTTTAAATCCCTGTATATATTTATTTAAATTCACCTGAATAATACGAATATCATGTAATATATCTCTATTTGATTTCGTTTGAAATAGAGATATATTACGTGCTATTTGTACTATTCAGGAGAAATTAAATAGATATATACATGAGTTTAAAAAAAGTTATTCGTACACATGATTAATGAAGGATGAAAAATTATTTTATAAAATATGAAGAATAAAAAAAATTCATTTTATGAAATGTGAGGAATTATGGACCGGATTATGTAAATTTTAATTTAATAATTTTGCTGTTAAAAAATGATCACGTGCAAGGTACGTAGTAGATTCCGACCAAAATTTAATCGGAAACCTAAGTAGGGAAGGTAGGGACCAAATTTGATTAATGTGAATCTGTAAGGGATGCAAAAGTACACTTTTAAAAGTGAGGGACGAAAAAAGTCATTTTAAAAAATATGAGAAATGTTTTGAACGATTTTTCCTATTATTATTTATTTATTTATTTTGCGTTTAGATTGTTAGTTGTGATAGAAAGTTTGTGACCGACGGATCCCGGCCTGCATGTAGTACTTGGTAAATTCTTTCGCAGCCGGCGGATCCCGTGAATAATCCATTTCTTGATACCTTTATCGAGAGACATGACAAAGAAAAAGGAAAATAATAGTAATAATAATAAAAAGACAAGACAAAAGCATTTTCTCAAAAATTTTGAGCGTGCGTTTGGTTCCATAGAATTGGAATTGAATGTCCCAATTCTATTCCTGCTGTTTGAATGTTGACTTTTTGCAGAGAATTTGAATTCAATTCTAATTCTATAGGCACTAAATTTCATGCTTTGAATTTTTCAGCGGCATCAAATAATTCTAATTATAATTTGAGAATCGAGAATCGAGACTGGATAAATACGGCACACAACTTACAACTGGTAAATGCTGTGCCTGCCTTTCCTGTGCCTTTCCCCACATCACAGCGTAAAACCCCAATGATATAATACTCCCTCCCTTTTTTTATAACTGACGTTTAAAAAATTTGCTCTAATGTATTTTTATCTGTAATTTTATTATCCCCATATAGTATTAATTATTTTTTCACAATTTTACCCTTTTATCTCTCTTTTTCAATACAGGGTTCTTAATTACTACTCCTAGTAATTATTGCATTGCTTTTGGCCTAGTAAAACAGCACCATTTAGTACTCTAGTGAGAGAAAATATGGGTGAATTGGACAATTAATGAGGGTACAAAAGGAAAGTAGTGTACAGATTTAAGCAATGAAAAACTTTTCTTAATTGGTGTGCAAAACCTTAAACGTCAGTTATAAAAAAAGGGAGGGAATATTATAAACGATCCAATCACAAGGCACTCAGATTAATTCCAAGCATTTATCCGAGAAATTAATCATATATTGGGGAGGACTAATGAAAAATCATTAATATGTGTGTATGAATGAGAAGATTGTTTGAAAATATTATTTAGTGTGTTTGGATAGTAAATTATTTGAGATAATTTTGTGTGTATTATTATTATTAAAATAAATGAGCAATGTGATGGTTAAGAACAGGGAATAATTATACTATTTTAAAAAAAGGCCCGAAATGTAGCAACAAAAGACTGGGCTTGCAACCGCACAATTTTCGCGCACACCACACTTCAGGTGCTTTGTGTGGTTTTGGTGTGTGTGTTGGGGAGAAGATAAAATGGTAGTGGGAATCGTTTTGAAATTGCACTTCATCGGTCAGCTTTAGCATACTTATAAACTTTTTGTAGCTTTAATTCTCTCTGTTTTTCCTAACCGTTGTCAAATTGTCACTCGTTAACATCACTAAAATTCACCTAATCTATTTTATACCCTTTCCTACATTTATATTGGTTTTTTTTTATTTAATTCTACCAATTTTTCTTTGTATTTATTTACTTTACCTAATTAATCTTACATTTCTCAAAGTATGATACCTAAAATATATCATAATGAATCTCCAATGGGCATTCGTTAGACAGATCCCATTTATATAGTGGACAATTATGTAAACAAAATATGATCTACTCAAACAAAATACCTAAAATATTTACAAACTTCCATTCTAATTTAGTAGCGGTTGAAGTCTCTTGTATATATTAAACTAATTTGGATATTTACATTTTATTTTTTTTTTCCAAATGTTGAAAGAATATAATGATAAAAAAAAGTTCCGTGTTGGATTAGTTTAAGTGACTTATGAAGTTGTAATTTGATAGCTCGAGCTATATAAATGTGCATTGGATTAAAAGCTAGATAATTTTGGTACATCAAAACATCGAGCAATATGCAAGGCTGCCAAACTATTTTTAACCAAAATAAAAAGAGTGACGCGACAGTGATCAAGAGGAGCAGATGGATGATCTTTAATTCGCCTGTATAAATTAGTATAAGAATTTTAGATGCGTTTGGATTGTAATTTTTCAAAGAAAAATTGTTACGTTTTCTGTTGACACATTTTCCAATCACCTATTTACCTTTCAAATATCAAATCGCTACAGTAATTTTTCTACGTAAAGTCTAGAAAAAATAGAATCCAAACAAAATCAATTGATAGATACAAGCTACTTCCCAACAAAAAAAAAAAAAAAGTGATTATGAATGCATAAAACATGAAAACAGAAGGAAAAAAAATCGTTACTAGCTATCTTTTATTTTAATAAGAATAAGAGTGGAGTGGATTTAGGGAGAAAAGATGACAACTATACTTTAAAGACACAATACTTGAAAGAAAATTATGAGGAGAAGGTAAGAGCTTTTGTTTAGAATGATGGAGGAAATTTGCAATATATTTCCAATGGTGTGCTAATACTTAGAATACGACGATTCCCTGTGATTTTGGTAGTCAGCAAATCGAGAAAACGATAGACCATAAAAAGCCGCCACTGAGTGCATCTCCGGACACCATGTATGTATCTGTAAACTTGCAATTGAGAGGGCAACCTTGAACATGCATGAATGCTATGGGTCGTCGTAGCCCGCCCAAGATCTACACGAGATTTGCAAAAAGAAAAAAAAAAGGGCAGGAGAAAATCATTGTTGAGCGTTCCTATTAGAAAATAATTGCAATAGGTTAATTAAGCAACTCGCTGGGACACGTTATTCGTTTGTGGCATCATCTTATTCGTCTCAAGTGGAGCATTTTGGTTGTAAGATGCCATAAACTTTGCTGTTTGTACCCGCCCTTTTGTGATATTCGCCATTGCCCTCCTGCTGTGCTTTTCCCCTTATCGGAAGGTAAAACCACAAGGATCAGATCATGTTAATCGAATATTATCATGGATTTTGGTTCCCGTCAAGATTTGTTTTTTGTTCTTCTATTACTATTATTTCATAAAAAGAAATTGAATAAGTTACCAGTTAAATAATCATGTAGTAACTCGAAAGAGGAAAACCAAGAAAGCTTTTGACTTAGGATCTGTTTAATAACATAAAAAGTGTTGAAACTGAATCTTTTCAGACATTCAAATGTTTTGAATGTTTGACAAATGAAAGCTCATCTGCTGAACTTGTGCGTATTTTTTTCAGTATAAGAATCCTAATTGAATGCTTAATTCTGATAAGAATCAATAGAATTACTTCAACTATCTTACCTTATCTACCATTGTTTATTAATTATGTTCAAAATTTTTATCTAATTGAACATTCTCATATTTTCTATCTAACGGTTTTTTTGTTTCTCTTTTTTTCATTTTTAATGATTTTCACATATTTTTCATACTTTTTATATAATATATTTCATCTTTTATATTAATTTGAATTTAAAAATAAATATTGTCATTTTCATACCTAACAATTTTAAATTAATTAAATCATAGATTCTATTTCTTTTTTGAATAAAAACATATAAGAGCAAAATTATAAAATTAAACTTATTAAGCATTCAGTTATAAATATTTATCGAATAGTATAAATAGATTTAGCATTAAAATCCAAACATCATATATTTCTTTTCAATGCTTAAAATTTAACAAATTAATTGTTTTAGTATTCAGATTTCAAACGGAACCTTAGAATAAGCAACGGTAGTAGCGCAAAGGAAGGAAAAGAAAAGCTGAAAAGTATCATACAAGAATGTAGTAACATGAAAACGGTTAATATATCCAGAACCCTTCAATGTGTGTGGCTGCTTCGGAGGTGGTGCTCAAACCAACGTTGCTTCACACCACTGTAACCATGGCTGTGAATGGCAACACCGCTCCCATAACGACGGCTCCCCATCCATCTTCCTTTCTTTCCAGCTTCTCTACAAAGTACACATGCCACTAGTACCGTATGCGTTTCTCATACTACTTAAATTGTTTTAATGACTCGCTCGCTATCTTGGATCTTCCTTGTTCAACTAGTTTATTTTGTTTCCTTTTTTTTTTTTTTTTTTGTTGGAAATGCTGAACGGGTAATTTTGTTCTACCTTAAAATGTTCAAATTCTAATTTTACCATTTTCCTTTTTATATAGTACTTGAAAACAAAAAATTCCATTTAGAAAACGGAAAAATTTGGAAAAAAAAAGGGAGGGGGGGGGGGGGTTTCCATTTAGGATAATGAAACGGACACGTACCCCATAAAACGCAAATCATCTAAATTGCACAGAACAATACGCTAGAAATTCGACTTCCATTAAAAACGAAGGAAATACCTTCTTTCCTTCTTTTTTCACTCGATGCTTCAAGGTGCAACATCAAGTTTTCCTTCTTTTTCTCCTTAAATTTGGCATTGCACGGAAATATCTTGAAGAATCCTTACCATAATCATCGTCGCTGATAATTTCCTGAAAGCTTGCTACCTCCGACCTATCCCTATTTGCACTCTCATCTGGATTCTTGGTGGAGGTGGTATACGAAGTATCCAGGTTCCCCAGTCTCTCCGCCTGAACAGGGTTCACTGCTCTGGTGGGGCTCTTACTGATGTCATCTTCCCCAATCCCGAGCACTTTGATGGATCAGATTCAAATGTCGTCACTTTCCCCGGGCACTTAGATGATCCCTGCAAGTCCCCATCAGTAGTATCTTCGTCCAAGCAAAATCCACCTCCCACTGACAGGTATTCTTTGGATAACTCGGTATCGGAAACGATACCATTGGAAGGACTGGAGTTTAGTTGATCTGTCCCCATATCTTCTTTAGCTTTGCCAACACCATATCCATCACCCTTTTCGAGAAATTCCCAGGACAGTTCTTGATCAAGATTTTCACTCTCATTAATTTTGCTTGGAACAGCTGCTGTAAGATCCTCGAGCAAGTCTGCAGACGACACTTTCCTTGCTCCACTACCCTCCCTGGAGCTTTCATCACCCAATCGGGATCATCAGATTTCAAGTTAAACTCAGAGTAGTTCACTTCCTTCCGAGGCCTTCTCGACTGAAATTTCACAAATAGAATACCAATCACAACCAAATAGAAGGAATGACGACAAAAACTTTAGAGCGAGGGAAAAAGGGCAGAGGAAGTCCAGGTGAACTAACTGATCTTCCTAAAGACGCCTGGTAAGACTTCTAATTAGACTGATGAAGGGCTGGAATCTAATCAGTTTTAGTGAAACTGAATGAAATGATTATCCACTACTGCGGGTATATTAAGGCTTAAGTGGACCAAAAGGTACAAACAACGTTAGGAGCTGATTAGGACTTTTAAGAATATGGGATTTATTTAAGCTAGTGAAGAAAACAATATTGCTCAGATCAGGTCAGATTTTTCCAGACATGGTCAGTTTGAAGCTGCTATCAAGACATTTACCAGCTTATACTTTCATCAATGCTTAGTGCAACAGCAAACTTTAAGATCAGAACGAATGATGAGACAAAATACAAGACTTACTCTTCGTACTTGGTGTTGCTCTCCAAAATTAACTTGGACATCTTGCGCACTGTCGCTATAGATTTCATCATCCGGGCTAGATGAAGAATATTCTGAAGAATGAGATTTAATTCCTCCTTTGTTAATAGGATGATCACTTGCTCCACCTCTACCTCTAGCTTTACCTCTTTTCCTAACAGTAACTCCTCTACTTCGACCTTGAAAGTTTTCCTCACTGGGTAATCTGTTCCTACTCCACCACCAGGGTGTAAAGGTCGTCCCAGGGATCCTATATTTCTCAACTCCGTTTCATTTACTTTTTCTGTAGTCTTGGCCTCATTCCCAACATCTGCATATTCTTGTCCACTGGAAGCTTCTTCTAGTTTGTCCCCCGCCACAACATCTTGGTTTTTCTTCTTTTCTTTTTACTTATCAGGCCATCTTGCACAGACTCATCCATCAAGTCCAAGGATTTCTTCCCTGTTATACCTCTGACAGCTTTTTTGATCCTCTTACTCCGAATTTTTGCAAATCTTTCATTGAATGTGTAAAATGCTTCCAACCGCAGTTGAGTCTACAGCAATCAAGGCAGAGAAACACCAAGACATCATCATGCAGCAAAAAAAAAAAAAAAATACAACAGTACAAGCAATGACATTCACATTGCATTTGAAACTAGAAATGCAATACAAGAAAAACAACTTGCTCTAATTTGGATAGAACTCTTTCAGAATCAATTCAACATCTAAACCAGCAAATAAGATAAGAGTTCATCAAAGAGCTAAGTGCCTTTTTCCTTATGCATCTGCCAAAGAAGTGAACAAATGGAACCACCAAAGGACTGATAGTTAAATCCTGAACGCAAGATCTTCCTCATACTATGGGATAGACACTACTTGTGAAACAGGACATGAACTGTTAAATATGAGAGAGATGTATGGTTGCCCTCGAGACTTCTCAATACGGAGAGAAAGAGAGAAGATGAGTCAACCTCACGTTTATTGTACTCCTTCAATACAGGAAGCAATAGTTCATCTGCCTTTTGGGTGCTCCATCCAAATTTCTCCCAACACAATCTGTATCAATACCAATTAAGCTAAGCAACACAGCTCCCAACAAGTGCTCAATGTAAAACTATAAAAGAAAAATGTCAAATGCAAAGAAAGAACTGAACTTTCCTATGCATTTTAATTTCCAGTGCAACTGTCTATTTTCTTGCTAAAAAAGAAACTGATATTAAAGAATTTGTCACAATAACAACCAATAAGTGCCACCTATCAATCCTCCCTCTCCCTCCCTTCCCCCACCCACAAATTGAAGGATCAAATTATCTAAACCAGGAACAAATAACTTTACAACAACACTTGTCACTCAACAATCAAACAAGTCTCAGGTTCTAAAATGCCCCAGAAGACTATTTCAAGCGAGACAAGCAGAAAACACATACTTGCGGAGAACAAAATGATCTGGCTTCCCCCACGAGAAAGGCTCGGTTGACTTATCTACTTGTGGAGATGAATATGCTGAAATAACAGCATCACTCGGGAAAGAAGAAGGAACGTGCCAGTTTTTGCTCACATTTCTCTGCATATAGAACATTTAATGATGAACATAAAAGCCAAGAAAGAGCAGTGTCCCTTACCAATGCATGTAACACAACGAACACGAGAATCACGACAGTACATGCTTATTCATAAAAATCTGCTTCAACTTTTGGGTGTCATCAACAGACCCAGAAACATCTGCATCACGTGCAGCAACTCCACTTAACTTGGCATCTGAGCAATTCATATCAGTCTCACCAACTTGTGACTGTATCTGCTTTGAGCTACTCCCTGCTTGCAAATCAAACTTTCCCAAAATGGATGGATCTGGTGATTCAATCCACTCACGAAATCTACGGAGGCCATCCTCTTCAGGGAAAGCATTTACAACCTCGATAGCATTTACAATGCCAATTCCACTAGAAAAATTTTGTACATTAGAACAGACCAGACACGAAGTCATAATGTACTCTGAACCAAGATAATATAAATCAGGAACTAGAACTAAATAAAATGAAATCAATACAGCATGCCAGCACATCTTCAGCCTCAACCACAAAGCAACAAAATAAAGGATTGGAAATTCAGTATTCCTGATTGAGTTGATCGAGAAAAGGTTTTACCTTACACCTTCAGTGTAGTCACTTCCAAGCAGCAGTGCCATATGAATTAACTTTTCCCGATTTAAGCCAAGCTCATTCTCTATGTCCTGGCCAGCCAGATAAATTGCATCAACATTAGATAGCCATGCTAGAATGTGAATGTTATTGCCAAGAAGATTAAGAAGCTATGGCATGGTTAAACATAAATACATGGGATAAAAAGGCAAAAAAAAAAAAAAAGAGAGAAGGAAAGGAATCAAGGATAGATCATCCTAATCTCAAAACAAGTAATATTTACACACTGCCATGGAAAACCATCGCAAACTAAACTTAACATCATGCCAGGGCATAAAGACAACTAGTTCTGGAGCTTTCTTATTTTTTAGTGCTTCAAATGTGAGTAAAGAGTAAATGAAATCCCAAATTGAAGACGACACAAACCTTCATAAAATATGTCTCGACATACTTGCGATCATCAAAAATGTTCTTGTAGACATTTCGTGCGCCAAACAAGAATGCATCGGAATCTCAGTAACTACACCATCAACAAGGTTTACAAGTTCCATGAATGCACATTGAGCTTCAGCTTCCATGGGTGCAATAATAAAAGGTAAGCCAAACATTTGAAGTAACTCCTACAAGAAGGGAAAAAAATGAAACCCAACAAGCTTGATAAGCTTTGCTTCGTTGAACCAAAAGATACAAGATTTGGATAAACAGAAAGGGACAATGTTCCCTAAATGAAAGAAGAACATGACAAAAGACAGGAATAAAAAATTTATCAGTATCTAGGCATGCTTTTGACTTGAAATAGAAACACCAGTCATGAATCAGGTTAGCAAACAATAAGGAACTCAATTTTAACAAAACTATCTAGAATTCACAAGAAGATCCTGCTCAGACTCTGAATGGTTATGAATGTACAGCCATAATATCTGGATCCATCAATATTTAAGAACAACATAAAGTCATATCACACCTGGCATTCAGCAAACATTTCACTGCTTACTGATTCAGCATTTCGCTCAAGCTTTTTCTGCTTATCTCCAAGTTCTCTCTGCTCCTCACCTAAAAGTAGCACTTCCTCTCCAATCTAGCTTCTTCCTTTCTGCCATATGATGAACCATCTTTACCCAAATGTTCTTCTCCACAATCATGAACTTCTCCCTCTCTGCATTGTTGAGCAGTGTCAATCATTAAATCTTTCAAAGAGGATCCTTTTATTTCAGTTGTCCTATTCAAATGGCCATCTACTACTGCCTCAGCCTCAAACCCATTGTGTAAACCATCTGCAAAAATGGCATCAGCAAATCAGTAGAATGATGAGTTACAAATGACAGGAACATGTCGATAACTTTCATTACCTGCAACAATTCCATCCCCAGTGCCAGAAGCAAGCTGCGCTTCGAATGCGAAACATCCTTTTCTTGTACAGGGGTGCCACATACTTCTTGGTGCGAAGTATTATTTCCACTCACATCTTGCATTAGTGGGTCTACGAATGGGTAGCTTCCACATGCTTTTTCAGGCAAAAGATCCTTCGTACCATAATTACTTCTAAATATGGCATCAAGTGGCCGTCCAAAGAACTATTGGTCTCCACAATGTTACCATCAGGACTCTGGTGTTCTCTTGAACATGACAAGGGGACTCATGCTGTTGATTATTAAATGTGGAGGGAGGTTGTGACATTTTTCCATCCACTTCTTTATGAATAAACCCAGAATTCTTGCTCAAACTAACCACTGCTGCCGTTGCTCCACACTTTTCATCCTCATCAGGTGTATCAACAAGCCTTTGATCACCCAGGTCCTGAAGACTCCTCCTTATTGCTTCCTTTAGATCAGCTTCTTCTTCCAAAGCACCTTTAGAAACAATGTCCAAGTATTCACCAGAAAAGGAGGCCTCTTCTCGGATACCAAGAGAACCATCCTCACATTCCAAATCATTCTCATCACGCATACCATCTGGCAGAGTGGCTTACTTTCAGTTTATTGTTTGAAGTACCAGCTTCAACTTCAATATCTCCATCCTCCCACTCAGGTTCTGAAGCAGAATCCAAAGATTGTTTCTTTGAGAGAGAATCATTAATAGAAAATTCCATTACTGGATCTCCTGCAACTAAATGAGCAAATAGATCATATCCTCACCACCCAGTTCATGCTGACCATTATCATCAAAAGATATCTCCATGGAAGTTCCAGCATTCAATATACTTTCTTCATTGTTCTCATCAACACAAGTCATTCCATTTGAATCCTGATAACAGGTTGCTAAATTTGGGATCCCCTTAGAAGAATTGTGTGGTATATCAACTACACTGCTACAATTGGTAGATTCTTCTATTGCACTTTTAGTCATGCACACACTCTCTCCATCAATCTCTTTCATCAAATCCAAATTTCTTTGCAAATCTCGAGTCATACGAATACCCATAGCTCTAAGTCTACTCACTCGAACCCGACCCCTTTCATCCAGATATGTCTCGACATCATTCTCAAAATTCCTTTGAGGTTCATCAACAGTAGATCCAGCCACAGCAGTGTGTTTTGTTTTTGATGCAACATCATTGACAGCACTTATGGAAGGGTTCGCTGGTGCTGTTTGACTTTGTTCACTTTTCTTGCTCCCTTCTCCGGTAGATGTAAGGACCCTAATAATTCAAGTGCACACAAGTAATATTATTGCTTGAAGGACGGTGTCTCAGACAAAATTTTAAAAATAAAAAGGCTCGTTCTTGAATTTAATACTCTATGCAGATGTATTAAATTCAAGAACGAGCTCTGTTGAGCAGAAACCAATAGTCAAAATCAAAAGATGTTTACTTACTGTTTGTCCCACTGAAATTTGTTGAAAAAATAAATTCTCGATTTGCTTCAGAAGCAATTCTTGAAGTCTGTACCCCACCACTCCCCTTCCTGCAGCAGATTTCTGCACTTCATCTATCTCACGCGGAAAGCAACTGTTTTAAGATAAGCTTGTATCTGTAATTCCGAAAATCTAGAAGGGGCCTATTTGTACATTCGAAGAAAATGCCCAGAAGCAAAAAAGAAAAGAAAAAAAGAAGGATGAGGAACATCCTAAAGAGTCTGCAACTTTAGCATTACTTTAGAGAAGATGGATAAACATAAAACAGTAAAAAGCAGGAAATGACACAAGCTGACACACAGTCCTGAAAAACCTAAACACTTGCAATGAGGTAAAAGACTGCAACACTCAAGAAGCATTGAGCATTTCTTATCTACATCAGCAAGAAGAATCAAAAGGTAACAAGTATATCTTTGTACCACATATAAATATCCTATCAAGCTACTGTAAACCAAAGAATCAACGATCTAGATTTAAAATAAAACCAAATATGTAATTTGTCTTACTAGTAATTACATACTGACAGCAGAAAATACAGTATAGTTTTTAAAGCAAACAAAATAAAGTACCTTCCCAAAAATTTTCCAGGAGATGCTCAACATCTATTAAAGGTGCTAAACTATGACTACAGCTCGTTTATATACATTTACCTCTTAAGGTGGTTGAGATCATACCTTCTTAACCCGTTGATACTTTTGTCTATTCTCAGCCATCAATCTCTCTCTCATCTGTGAGGAAATCAAGATATCAGAAAAGAATAAAGCTTTTTTTTTTTGAAATAAAAGTTTGACAAAGCTTTGTCTATCAAAACTTCTTATATCTATATCTATATATATATAGAGAGAGAGAGAGAGAGAGAAGCAGTAAAAATATTAGCTTCAGACTAGTCAACCCATAAGCATATCACCAAATTACCTGAACGAGAAGATCAAGTTGCATGGATGGAGGTAAGGCAGCTAAGATAGCAGGATCAATTTTTCCATGCATGGTTGGCTGCAATTGATTGAATAGAGTCAAACAAGACACCACTTAGATCTTCTACAATCTTAATATCATCGCAAAGCACAACAAAATCAGTCTCTGTCAAGTAGAGTAGGTCCAAAAACTAAATAAGCAATAGAAATGGAGCATATTGTGTTTTTAACTTTGATAACTGTAAAAATGATCCTTAATCCAAATATGCAGGTAAAAAGATGCAACTTTTGGTGACAGATTGATGGCTAAATTAGAAACTGCAGCAATGAACTCTAGGTGGTAAAGGTTTCAATAATGTGTCAGATATTCCTTGCCCTAAGCTCCAGAATTGTAAACTTGGATATGGTTCTTATTCCCCCTGAACCTCCTCATAATATAACTAGAATATCTGACAAGAAAGAAAAGCTCACAAGGATCATCTCTTCATCCTCATCAGCACCTTCTTCTTCTTCAGTTTGAATCCCCACACCAGATGATGACTCAGCAGCAGCGAAACCTTCATCTTCCTCCGCTGCAAGTGATGCTGCCAACCTTGATTAACTCAACATAAAAAAAGTAAGAATTTTTTTTTTTATAGCCATACACTTCCTTTCAAACTTTCACAACTACAAATAAACAAGATAACATAGTTTAGCGCACACATTTCATCCAATGCTTCCTGATTGTAACCATCTGTAAACAGTAAGCTTTGTCCTGATGTCTCCTGCGCCATCTGTGCTTCATCTGTCGCGACCTTTTTACCTTTAGCATCATTAGTCCTTCTCTGTTTCTCAAGTTCAGCAGCCAGTTCTTTCAATCTTATTTGCTTGAGCTGTTAAAAGGGTTGAACAGAAACACGTATTACACACACAGATGAACCAAATTTCATCCATAATACAAGAAGCACTTAATATTCCTTTTGCTTAAATTAAACAATTAAAGAGGCATCTCATTTGCTATTAGAAAAGGAGAACATAAAACAAGGAAAAAAATACAGAGCATTTGATAATAATTGGTGGAAGAAATAAGGGACCTGATTGAGAAGAAGCTTCTCGGCGGTTTTTCGAATCTTGGCTTGAGCATTCTCGCGCTGGCGGCGGCGGGCGATCACAGTACGGCGTTTAAGAGCGGGCGTGCCGCCATCGAAGATGAAGACCGGCTTGGTTCGGAGGTAGAGAAGCTTGCAAATTCGTCGGAAAAACCCCAACAAATGAGCGTTCCTTACCATCTCTCCTTTCTCGTCTCTCATCGCTTTCATGAACTGAATCATCCATATACTCGCGTCTAAGCATAATTTAAGTGAGCTTACAATTAAAAAATTGACATCAATAGTTCACGACTACAATTCTCTTAATATCATAACTGAATCTAGCATCTGGCATGATTAGGGTTGGAATGGAGAAACGAAGGGGCTCACCGATTGCGAGTCGCTTCCCGGCAAGGGTTTCCACGGAAACGCGGCGACCAACGGGGGCCAAGAGGTCCCACAGGCCGTGGACGCCCATATTTTAGCTTATTTGATGCTGCCTGTCCCGTGCAGTGTAATAAAACCATCACCCAGTTTTCTTTTTGGAATTTTATCTGGGATGCTTTTGGCCGCCAAGGAAGGAGGAGCTAACTGATGACTTTGCTGCTGCAAAGTCGGTTAGCCGAGGTTGCCAAAACGACAACGTATAGCCGATAGGAAGCTCGAGCGTAATTGGGTGGTGGGGTTATGGGTTATGGGGGAATTAAAGGCACAACTATTGTTAATTGCGGGCATGTTTGGAAGCCAGGTTTTTGGACAAGTTTTTTACCTACTAATTTTTTAACAACTTTTATTACAAGAACTCCAAAAAAATTTTTTACCTACACACTTAAAATATCCAAAACACAAAAAAAAACTCCCTTCCCATTCTCTTCTTCTTCTTCCTCCCCCATCCCAACCCACCACCACCTTCGTCGCCTGCCACCACCTCCGCCGCCAGTTCCGGCGCCGATCACCTCTTCCGGTGCCGGTCTTCTTTTTTTTTCCCCCTTTTTCTCTCCCCCCTCTTCCTCCCCTGCCATCCTCCCCTCTATCTTTTTTTTGCTCTCTGTGTCTCCCTCACTCCTGCCCCACCACTCTTCCCCTTTCCCCTTCCCTGGCCGATCTGGTCTAGCGACCAGATTGCACGGGGGAGGGTAAGGGTGGCGGGGGAAGGGGAGGAGGGGGGAGAAGGAAAATTGCAAAAAAAAAAAAAAATCATTTCGCTGCTTCATCTGCCGGCAAAAGCAAGGAGAGGAGACAGGAGGAGAGGGAGAGAGGAAATATGAAAAACAGAAAAGGGCAGAGGGAAGGTGAGACAGCGGGAAGGGGAACAGGGGAGGGGGAAGGGGCAGAGAGGGTGGCAGGGGAGAAGGGAGGAAAGGGATGGTGGGCATAGAGGGTGGCGGGGGGGAGTGGGAGGGGTGGCGGGCAGAGGGGGGAGGAACGGGGAAGGGAGTGGGAGGGGGGTGGCGGGGAGAGGGGAGAAATGGGTGGCGGGGGAAGGAAAGGGAGGGGGGGAGAGGAGAAAAGAAAAAAAAAAAAAAAGAAGATAAGTGGTGCTGGCGGAGGTGCTGGAGGTGGGAAGCAGATGTAACGGGGAAAGGAAGAAGAAGAGAGGAAAGAAAGAGAGAAAAGAGAAAAAAAAAAGAAAAAAGAAAAGGGAAAAAAAATTTCACCTTACGAAAATTTCTACAAAATTTTTCACATTACAAAAACTTCTATAAAAATTTTTCAAAAACTTCTAGAGTGCACAACAATAAAATTTTAGACAAACTCCAAAAAACTCAGGTTCCAAATAGGCCCTGCATTTCGTTCTATGATTTTCACCATGTGCAAAAGCATGAGCAAATTATCTCGATAGTCACTACATTTTTTGAATAGTTAAAATTTGATCATTTAATTTTTAATAATATGTTTTTATCTACTAAATTATCAAAAATATAAACTTTCAATCATTTCATTTGATTCTACCGTTAATTCTATCAGATATAAGGGTTTGTATGATTCACGAGACGTGCTATTAATAGTTAAATATGGCAAAATTAATAGTAAAATTAGATAAAATTACTCAAAATTTATAGTTTTGATAAATTTATTAGGTACAAATATACTATTAGTAGTTGAGTAGCCAAAACTCGACTATTCAAAAAGTATAATGATTACCTGAATAATTTGTCAAAAAAGGAAATAATATGAGATCATTATTTAATATGACAACCTCAATTTCTCTGTTATCAAATATTTGGAGAAGAGACATTAAAACGTGTTTTTGTACGAAAGTGATAATACATCACTTCTCTTAGAGAGACATTTAAAAAATATTTTGTATGAAAGTGCTAATATCATCTAAGTTACAAAAATTGCTTGTAATTTAAATAAAAAGATAAGATATAATAATTTTATACTCCCTCGCCGTCCCACTTTGATAGTCCTGTATTCCTTTTTCATCTGTCCCAAATTGTAGTTCACTTTCCAATTGAAGAATGTAGTTGTATTTTAATTTTCCTAAAATATCCTTATTCAATGTAAGTAGTTGTTACTATAAACCTACCCTATTTAACGAGAGTTGGTTCTTTTTTTATCATTAATTCAATTTTCCATAAAGTTGTACCATATTTAATGTGAGGGTATTTTAGGAAAATAGCAATCTAAATTTACTTTTCCAACAAATTAACTATTTTTTCTTAAACTGTGTGAAAAAAGAAACAGAACTATCAAAGTGGGACGGAGGGAGTATCTTTTAGGGCACTTTTTTTTGTATTTGTCTTTTGTTGACTCTTATTTAAATAACATAGTTAGTTTCATTCATCTTGTTAACTTCAATTGACCCGGTATTCAGTGGCGGAGCCAGAAAAAAATCTTAGTGGAGGCAAAAATAACACTAAAATTTTTTATCTACTTTTTTTTCTAGTTTTTTAAGCGCAAAAATAAATTCACCAACAAGTACAAATGATACGTATATTCCATGAAAAACATAAAAAGAGAAACTCAAAATTATTAATGTAATAATAATTTTATTTCAAAAACTAACTAAACTATTTACAATGACTCACGATGAGTTTTCATATTTTGATAATGGTTTATAACTTTTTAATTTTGAACTTCACGAAATATTTTTTTCAATATAAGTAACTAAACTAAATTTTGTGACCTATTCTTTTACATATTTTCTAAAAAAATTCTGGAGGCACATTTAAAATAATGTCAAAATTATATATGTATCAAAGAAATTTAAAGGAGGGCAGTGGGGCCTGTGCCCCCAGCTTAAATCTGCCCCTGCAGTATTTCGATGTTGTTGGGCTAGAACCAGCATGAGAAAAGCCGAAGCAAGCATCTACCGGAAGAGAATTTTGACTAGATAAGTTTGCAACTTGCAATAGCAATAAAGGAAAAATCAAGAAATTGAAGGGCTAAAGTGCTAATAGCGAAATGTTCAAGCATAAGAAAGAATAAATGAAAAGCCAAGGGGAAATTTGCAAATAATGGAAAAAGCAAATAGAATACAAGGGCGTAAATGGGTGAAGGCATCGAGCTATGATGTTCATTGATTTGCTCGGAGTGGGGGAAACAGGGGATCTGCAGAATAATCCAACCGAACCCAACCCAGTCCAGCCCACCGGCGGCTACAGGAAGACGGACGTCTGGCTGGTGGTCTTTTCTCCTCGAAGAGTGGTGGATGGAAAAGATGGGAACCGCCAACAGGGAGCTGGAACATTTGTTCGAGGACAAGAAGCGCGTCAGAAATCCCCTCGTCCCCTTCGGTACAACTTCTCGCCCCTTTTCTCAAAAATCCTATTTTGTTATTACAAATATTTTATATCTCTGATTGTCCTTGACAACAAAATGGGGATTGGATAGACCACAGTATCGATGCGTGATTTTCTCCTTTCCGGGTTTTAGCAAAAATGCATTCTCTCCATATCTGTTTGGAAGTATTTATATTGGTCTATTGTCGAATGAGCGTTTTTTTCACTGAGATGGTTAGAAATTTTTAGTCATTTCAAGAGGATATAAGAATAAGAAATGCTACAAGTCGATTAGCTTGCAAAATAGAAAATACGCGGTTACACATATTTGATGCCCGCGAATGAATGTTTCCTTGTACTAGTATCTGTGACAATACTAGAATTCTCTTCCTGTGAACCATGCATGAGCCTCAGTGGTTGGCGCGTTGGTCCATATTGAGTGAGAAATGATTGGAGGTTTTTGGTGCCATGAATCCAATCCCATCAAGCTTGGAACTCGATCTGGTCAACATGATAGCGATATTGTGCTCTAGTTTCTTACAGCTTTTTGGAATTTATTCTGCCTGTTGAGTTGCTTATCCTGTCGTATAAACAGTTCCTTAAAGATGGGTGTGTTAGAATTTCTAAATAGTCTGTATGTTCGCCTTGAGGACATGAATCGAGCGATACTTTCATTTCTTACATCATAGCCATGATGGGCTAGGAATTGGGTTATACAACATAGACATTGTGGTTTCAGATGAATATCTAACAACCGAAGGAATATGCAATAGAAGTTACTGCTTGAGGCCCTTTTTTCACTTCTTCATCAATGGTTTTGGACTCTTTGTCCCAATATACATATTTCCCTCTTCCAGCGAATACTGCAGCATTAGTGGAATACTCTGTTTGTTCAAACTCATCGTCCATTTCAAGTATTGAGCAGATAGAACAGAAGCTACAACTAAACCTTTAGTTGGGGGCCGTGTTGACTTGCATGATAGTGTGAGGGATTTGAGGCAAGGCATTACCATAGATGTTCCTTCTTGACGGTATCTCCCATATCCTGCACCAAATGTTTTAGTGATGAGGTGTGTTCTGCATACAGAAGAAAATCAGCAGACATTTCATGTTTGACCCCAATATGTGGATGAATCTCAACAATTAACAAATGGGTGTGGCTGGATTATTACCACTGACTTATAGTTAAAATTTACTCTGTCCTGGTATATCGTGGTGGCTTATTTTAGTCAGAGACACATGACTAAGAGATCTCAGTTGTAGCATGGTTGTCTTCCATGTGCTATACTTTAGCTGAAATGAGGAGAGGGATAGCGGTTGAGATGGTTACTCCTGATAAAATTGTTACTTTTTGCTGCTGGGAATGACAGTTACTTATGTGGCTCTAGCTAAAAGGCATGATGAAGAGAATGAGCTTTGTGCCCCCCCCCCCCAAGTACAGAGTATAGACTCTCTAGGAACAAGATTAAAAGACATCTGCTTGCGGGGATTTTGCGGTACACACCCTGCACTTTGTAGCTTAAGTATGTTAAGAGTTCTTACGTCTTTTGTGTTTAAATGTAGTTTGTAGTGCAACATTATGTCTTTGTTTGAAGAAATCATTTCTCTTACACGATATCCCTGTTAATTCAGAATAGCTTTATTGTTAGATTTTTTTTTTATTGAAATGATGCTTTGATTTTTGAAATTTGTAAGAGATTGTAGTCTTCTTATTTTGTGTGATACAATCAACCTGACTCTCGACCTAATGTATCGATCCACTTTAAACAGGTGCATTTATTACAGCTGGAGTGCTTACGGCCGGACTTATTAGCTTTAGACAAGGCAATTCTCAATTAGGTCAAAAGTTGATGCGAGCTCGTGTGGTTGCACAAGGTGCAACTGTTGCATTAATGGTGGGGACTGCTTACTACTATGGAGATAAATTTTAATATTTTGAATAATCTTCTATGTCATGTGACTGCCAAATGGCTTTTGCCTTTGCCTTTTCCCTTAGAGATCTTTTATTCTGGAGGATTAGATCTATCGTGTAAAAAACTTGTTACGACCCAAGTTTATCACTTTTTGCTGATGAGCAGGTCTGTTTGTTGCCTATTTGTTTGTATGAGCTATTGCATGCTACCAATGGTTGCAAAGATCTCTGATGTGGTTGGACCATTAATGTAAAATTTAATTTATGATGCTGATATGCTGGTTTTTCATTCAAACATTTGAAATTTTTCATATGCTCAGCATGAGAATAACATTTCGTAGCTTTAAGGATTGAGACTTTGTATGAACTGGTGATGAAATGTGGGAGAAAATGAAGGTCAGATTGGTCGTGAGTTCACTGGATGCTGGCCAGGGTTAATTCCAATTATCTTATGGCTATCAATTTAATATGCAGATGGGTTTTTACAGGGCAAGACTTTTTCATGCTGTAAACCTAAAGCTGGGCCGCGTTCTAACTGTAATCTAAGATGTGTGATGCGGACCTAGTATTTAACTATTTGTAATATAAGTGCGTCTCTTAAATAGTGAAGTACGAGACAAGAAAACAGGAAATTAACAGGATTTGCTACTCGTCTCAGCAAGTCTGGGATCCAAAAGCTGCCTTTTGTCCATAATGGCCAGCAATTTTTATAAAATCTCCGCCATAATGTAATCATGGGTTCATTTGCAATTGTTTTTGGTTGTTAAAAACTGTCCAGCTGGAGCTTGACGACAGTGTAAAAGACAAAATCTTCCCTTTGTGGAGGAGCCTGGAAAAAAAAACGGAGACCAGTGTCCCTTCGCCGGCATCCGATTGGGTTCCGTGAGGGAACTGGTGGATTGACTTCGTCAATCAAAGCCAAATGACACTCGAGTTGCCATTGTGAATGCCGCCAAATGGCTGTGATAACAGAAGTTAAAAAAGACTGATGGAGCATTGGAATTCCCTCCTCTTGCCAAAACACCCACACACACAGCAAATCATGTCAAATCTCTAGCCTCAACTCAACCCGGATTCTTGATTACAATTCCCGGCTTCATCATGTCAGTATCATCTAACATGAACAAAATTTTCATCTGGGTACTCCTGTTTTCATTCTTTCTCCACTTCCATTCAATAAAATCAGACGAAGAAGAGCTTAGAGCAGCATTGAGTAATCTTATCACGGGCTCACAGAAAGCGCTTCCCCAAATCAGGCTTCACCATGGAATTTAACCTCTTATCCTTGCAGGGACCATTGGGATGGTGTCGCCTGTGATAACAGGAACTCTCTGAGGAATATCACCCTTGATGGCTTAAAACTTTCAGGAAATCTTAATGCCAGTTTCCTCTGCGACGTGCAATCTATAGCCGCTAGCCTAACTGTCATGAGTCTCAAGGATAACAACCTCCAGGGAGAAAGCCTGGCGGAGATCGCCAACTGCAGACAACTCACACGCCTGTACCTTGGAGGAAACCGCTTCAATGGCAGCCTTCCTGACTCGTTCCTGAGATTGAATAATCTCAAAGTACTTGACATATCATCGAATAACTTCTCTGGCACTCTACCTGATTTGTCCCGGATATCTGGTTTGATAGAGTTCTCTGCTCAAAATAATCAGCTGTCTGGGTTTCTTCCCAGTTTTGAATTTTCCAATTTCCACACATTTAATGTTTCTAATAACAATTTTAGTGGACCTATACCGAGTGGTGGCGTTCGCTTCCCCGCGAGTAGCTTCACAAAAAATGATCAAATATGTGGCCCTCCGCTTCCAAATAGCTGCCCATCAGCGTCCTCTGATTCATCCGACAAGCCAAAGGGGAGCTACTCAAAAGATGAGATTCTGACGTTCTTGGGCAATTTCTTGCTAGGCTTGACTGTGTTGCTTGCCACCATCGTCTTTCTCTGCAGAAGGTGCAAGAAAGCTGAAGCTAAGGTCGAAGCAGATTCTAGAGTAGCTTCAGTTGATGATAGCATCACTAAGCAAATTTACACGCCGAGCAACTTCAAGGCTGGTCCAGTCAGCAAGTCTGACTACTCGACTGCTTCAGGTGAAAGCGCAGTGGTACCGTCATCACTAATAGTTCTCAGTAGCCCTGAGGTGAGCGGATAAGGTTTGAGAATTTACTCAAGGCTCCTGCTGAGTTGCTGGGAAGAGGAAAACACGGTAGCGTCTACAAGGTTTTCTCCGAAGAAATGGGCATGATTTTGGCCGTAAAAAGGATCAAGGATTGGACAATATCTAGCTATGATTTCAAGCAGAGGATGCGGAGATTAGACCGCGTAAAACATCCAAATATATTGCCTGCCCTCGCTTTCTATTCTTCCAAACAAGAAAAGCTCCTGGTGTATGAATATCTGCAACATGGGAGTCTTTTCAATCTTCTCCATGGTAATTTTCTTGCAATTTTCCTTTTCCCCATTAAATCTCATGTGGCTACTTTTTGCGCACTTACTTGAAGTCTTATAAGATCTTATTACATCACCCAACGATTCAGAAAAGTGCTTATGTGTATTTGGCCCTTCATAATGGATGGAAATTGGTGCCTGTATTAATTAGAACTCCCAAGTCCCAAGAGAACAGATCACAAGTGTAAAGAACATTCCTAGACAAGTTGCTTGTAAGGAACTTACTAAATCTTTAAGAAAAGTACTGTACTGCAATTCTTTTCCAAGCAATAAAGGATAAAAGAAGATGAAGAAAAGATAAAGAAACATCATACACTAAACAATTGCAGATTCCATCTGTATTCACTAGGATGGCGCTGAGTTTGTATGCTTTGATAATGTTCCCTTAAAATTTCAGGAACGCAGATGGGCCGAACCTTCGACTGGAGCACTAGACTGGACGTCGCTGCTAGCGTAGCTGACGGCTTAGCTTTCATGCATCAAGAGCTTCGAGAAGACGGGATTGCTCATGGTAACCTGAAATCATCAAATGTACTGTTGACCAGAACATGGAGCCGTACATAAGCGAATATGGGCTGGTGTTGGACAGTCAAGATCCTTCATTAGCTGGCAGTGATAATTCCTACCAAGGAAACGGAGAACATCTCAACAGGGCAATATTCAGGGCGGATGTATACGCATTTGGGTAATTCTGCTGGAGATGCTGACAGGAAAGCTAGTCCAGAGTGATGGACTGGACCTGGCGAGCTGGTTGTGTCCGTGGTTAGAGAAGAGTGGACGGTTGAAGTATTTGATAGGACATTGATTCGGGAAGGAGCTAGCGAAGCGAGGATGGTTAACTTGCTACAGATTGCTATTAAATGTGTTAATCGGTCCCAGGAAGCCCGTCCTAGCATGAATGAAATTGCTGCCAAGGTAAGCACACTCAAAGAGGAGGAAGACAAATCCATGGACGATGCTTCTGCATTGATTAGCACCTCAGTCTTGAGAGATCGCCATAATTGATCCAGAGAATTGCCGCTGTCAAATTCCAGGAACATCCAGGCAGAGACAGCAAAGTACCATGCCAGTAGTATTTCTTTGATGAATGTAGAATCACTGTTTGAGTTAGACGGCATACCGTTACCCTGTTGCATATGAAGTACTACGAATTAAGCACTTCAAGTTGCAGCTCGACTCGACTAGAGAGGAAAATTCCCTTTTTGAACCTTGCTTGCACTGTTGATTGTTCCGGAGTAAAACCTTACGAGTTTGGGAATTCATTAATGCAAGTTTTTCTTGTTTCCTACTCCACGGCGCCACTCATCATAAAGTTCAAAAAAGAAAAAAAAATTAATGAAATTTCCTGTACTATTTTCTCTTGCCAGCTCCTAGCATTATCTATCTATGGCCTGCCTGTTTTACTAGTAACTCTTCTTGTCTTGTCAGCTGCGCTCCATCTTTGGATTACCTTCGGTGACCAACCCCACAAAAAGAAACAAAGTGACACGTAAAACCAAATTTCTAGGAACTTACACATTAGTGAAAGGAAAAGCAGCGGAGCAAAAAGTCACATATGTTTGTTTACGACTAACAAATCTTTGTTCACTTTCTTTCTTGACGGTGGCTCCACTTTCACCAGGTTTATTGTCACGTACATCCAATCACCTCTCCACTCTTTTCATTATCCCACACCAGTAGTGCATCATCTTGTCCAATACCAAAGATAATCGTCCATTTTGGGTTTGTGGTCTTGCAACTGTCAACAAGCCAGTAAGTCTTGCAAGATAGAATTCTGATTGCAAATTGGGTGGTGCTCGATAACAGAGCATTTTGACGGGCAAAGGATAAGTGTGATTGACAAAGCACCATCACAATCGAACAAGAAGACAGCATAAGAATTCTCTAGTAATATGTGCTAGTAGCTGCTGAATTTTACGAAACATTTTTTTCATCCCAAACCATAATGAGTACCATATTTTCCCATCTCCTCTTTGAGTCCCTCTCGTAACTTATGACAACTCAGTTCAGCACTTAAATTTAATGAATTCAAATCTTAATATTTAAACCGTTTGATACTTCCAAAATTAAGTGATAACTCGTACTTGATTCCAAAAAATAATAATAACAGAAAAACCTGGAAGGTACGCTCCCGTATATGTTGCCTTCTATCATCAATACATTAATTTTCGCCCTAGAGAGTGGCGGTAATTAGCCCAACTATATGGGCCTGGACGGGTAACTCCAGTCGAGGCCCATACTTTGGGTGTACGGACACTGTCGTTTATGAAGCTGTCACGCTCTAATTTGGCGCGTTAGATATTCAGAAAAATTGTTTTTTTTTTTTCCAAATCTTTCGCCCTTTATCTTTTTTGACGTTATAGTTGCTCCTTTTTGATACTTTATTCCGCACGTCGACAAAGATCAGAAATTACAAAAAGAGAAAGATTTTTTTTAAAAAAAAAAAGAGAAAAACAGAGAGAACAAGAGCTCCTCAGTCCTCACTCTGGCAATAAGCCAGCAACTATTTACCGTTTGTCAGGGCCTATTTTCCGGCTTCCATGGCTATCCTTCCTTACCCAACACAAAAATACTGAGAAAAAAGTGAAAAATATCCAACTTCCTATTTTTATTTATTTCACATACCACGAGTACACTAATAAAGTATATATGCTTATCAGTCAGCGGTGTCAATGTAGAAAGAGACTAGAGGAATAGAGAGAGAGAGAGAAAGAGAGGAGAGAGGATTTTTAAAATCCATTTTTCCTCTTTACCTGATGTAAAAAGTGGTGTCGAGATCCCTAATGGAGAGCCAGAGGCTGCGAGTTTAGGGTTTTTGCTGCGCAAGAAGTGGGTTATAAAGACTTC